CTAGGGCCAAGACTTGAACTGCAGTCAGTCATACGAGATCCAGCCACCTTCACTACCATGCCACTAGCTGGCTAAAAAATAGAAGGTACTTTTATTTACTTTCTAGTAAATGTTATTGGAAAACCGGACATCTGCATGAAAAAAAAAATTAGAAAGAGAACAAAATCTACACACAGACCTTACATCCTTCAGAAGAATTATCTCAGGGTGGATCAGAGACTCAAGTATAAAATGCAAAGCTATGAACCGCCTAGACAATGACATAGAACAAACATTTAGGTGACCTTGGATTGGCAATCACATTTGGGTCACAAAAATCAAAGGACAGTAATGAAATGAAGACTTGAGGAGTTGGACTTTTAATTAAAATTAAAACCCTCATCTCTAAAGAATACCATCTGGATATTGAGAAGATAAGCTACAGATTTGGAGAAAATATTTCCAAAAAATGAATAAGATAAAGGGTGATACACAAAAACACAACTCTTCTTTTTTTTTTTGCAAATTTTTGCTATAGAGCGCATGTGCTCACCAGAGAGACAGAGAGAGACAGAGAGACAGAAAGTGAAAAATCACCTGCCCTCCCTGCCCCCAGGAGGATGGCCATACTGCAATCCCTTCTCCTCCTTTCTCCTCTCGGGATTTTGGGCATGCACACACATGCACCCGGTGTGAGTTTTAAGCCAGTGGGTCCGAGACTCAAACCACAGTCAACTATGTGGGAGTCCAGAAATGTAACCACTATGCCATCTGCTGGTCCTAAAAAACAAGACTTAAAAAATAAATAAATAAAATACAAAATTACACCTAATTTCTTTTCTTTAGGAGATAGTATTTTTAAATATTTCTTTAAAGATTTCACAATAGCACAGTAAACAAATGCTTAAGAGAGACAGGAAGAGAGGAGAGGAGAGAGCGAGGAAGCCTGATGGGGTCTCGTCACACCATGGTCCTTTTCCTCCAGCCCTGTACCTGCCAGCTTCTGGCTACATGTGTGCACACCTGGTGTGTTTCTGGTGGACGAGGCAGGGGATCCAAACTCATGGTAGGCCGCATGGCTTCCAGCACTGCAGCACAGACCCCTACAGCCTGTACCACCTCCTCTGGGCCTACGAAAGGTGTTCTAATTACATAATTTTCTTTTTAATGAAAAGGCAACTTTGGAGTTCTAGGTTCACAGCCAAGCTGAGGGGAAAGCAGAGTTCCCAGGTACCCCTTCCCTATAAACACGTAGCCCTGTTACCACCCACATCCTGCACCTACACAGAACCTTGGCTACAGTCCTCCTGTCAGGACTGCCACAGCCAAGCCAGGGTTCATCCTGCAGAGAAGAAGGGATTGTGGCATGGCCATCCCCCCAGGGGGTGATTTCTTGCTTTCTGTCTTTGTTTCTGTCTTTCCAGAGAGCCCATGTGCCCTATAGCAAAAATCTCTCTTAGAAAATTTTTAAAAAGTCTTATTTCTCTTTATGTAAAACAATTTGTAAAACTCATTATTCACATGTTTAATTGGTAGACTACTTGGTATCAACTTTACCTCAAGAATGCTGGAGAAAAGGAAAAAAAAGTTTACTTTAAAAAATAATTTACCGAAGTTTATTTAAAAATTGAAACATAGAAAGTGTAATAATCTTCTGGTGGTCATTTCTTCTTTAATTATCACAGAAATCACTATATTTTCATTTCTCCTTTGATTTACACCAACTACATAGCTGACCTGGCTCTCACAACCGGTGTGGGGATGAATTCGAGCTTGGCTGGCCACATCTAATCTAGGGCGATGTTCCACCTTCACTGTTTTAACTTTTAAATTTGCTTTTTATGTATTGAAAAAGTGTGGCACATAAACACTATGGAATACTACTCATCCATTAAAAAGAAAAAAAAAAAGTGATGAGACCCTGACATTTGGTAGAAAATAGATAAATATGGAAGATTTACAGCTGAGCAAAGCAAGCCAGACTATGAAAGAGAGGCTTCGTATGTCCCCACTTAATCTGAATCGAATGTCTGCAGTCCGTGGCAGAAACAGAATGGGTGGATGGTATACAAACATGGTGGGGAACTGTGGAAACAGAGACAGAGTGAGAGGAGGGTGGGGAATATGGGTGGGTGAGAGGGAGGGAATCAAAGGGAAAAGAAAGAAGCAAAACATTTAAGGGGACACAAAATGGAAACGGATCTGTGGATGACGTGTCCATGGTAATATCTTTGACTGAACCAGTATCCAGTGTGTTCAAAATGATTAAGCTCATTTGGTCTACGTAATGATATGCAGTGATGGAATGTAAAATAAATAAAGAAACAAAAATGAAAACAATTTTAAAAACAATTTTTAAATCAGCATGGAAATGTGTCTACCTAATATGAGAATAATCTATGCGTTTACATTTTAATAAGTAATAAGATGTTTATAAAGTATTGGTTTTATTCCAAAGCATGAAGTATTTTGTCTCACAGATGATCTGGCATATGCTTTAACTGCCACAGACACAGACTTATATAAAAGCATTCATTTTATTTCTGCCAATTGGCTTATTTTCCTATTGATCATATGAATCGACATGATTTATAGTGGAGAGTGGCAGCTAAGTACTGGGAGAAATCAAGTTCTGGTGTTTTCTTCTCCCTGCATGTCACTCAGTCCCTTAACTGAAATAAAACACTTTAGGAACAAATATTTTGGTTCTAAGAGTCACAAGTCTTAGTCCCCTTCATCCCACGCCCTGGTTCTCCCCCATCAGCCTCCCAAATTCCTAGCCCATTCTTCACACGTAACCTCGGCATTGTCTGCGAGGCCTTTTTTGTCCTTTTTCTTTTCTTTTTTAATTGCCAGAGGCATGTGTGGAAGTCAGAGAGATAGAGAGAGAGAGAGGGAGAAAACATCTCCCATGAGATGTGGTCATGCCACCATTCCTTCTCCCTCTCTCTCCAGTCAGGGTTTGGGGCACTCACCCATCTATGCACACCTGACATGCTTTTCAACCCTCCAGGTCTGGGATTCGAACCGTGGTGTGCCATGTGACTCCCTTAACTGCTGAGCTACAGAACAGGCCCTGTCTTTGAGATCTTACTTGCTGTTATACTTCTCGGCCTCCTTCGTGACTTTACATGTGCCCTTTTATCCCTCTGCTTGGATCTGTTCAAATCGTGCCTCTTGCCTTTTCTAAACATCCGGAGAGAGCTCCGTGGCTGCTCTTTTTATATATCTTGTGACAGCTAATATGGCATCTTGCGCATGAAAATAGCTGCGTTTTGTTAAAGTGTGTTTCAATTTAGATCCACTCTGTGTTAAGTGCCTGTCTGATAAAACGTGTTTTATATATGCATAGATACAGATATGTATATCCACTGGAAGAGAACTGCTTTCATCGTAAAGAATATGAAAAGACCATCTTCTAGAATAATGTAGAATTATTTTGCTTCATGACTTGGTGTCTTTAATCTTGTAATATTTAAGTTTTGTTTTAAATCTGGGGAACTTTTGCAATCCTCTGAAGACACAGGGATTATAAAATGATGTGCTTGTTAAATATACAGCCTGTTTTGGGGGAACAAATGTTAATTTTTTCAAGCTGGAAGATGGCTAGATATAAGTTTTTAATTAAAATTCATTTAGTGTGTTATCTGACTGAATGTACTTAAAAGAAATCTTTGACACGTTGATCAGATTCAATTGATTTAATCTCCGCTGAAACTTAAGTTCAGCATTAGTCATGGATAATTACTGTCAGAAAGGATATGTTCTAGCTATTCATTTACATAATACGAGCTTTCTTTTGAATTGCATATGAATTAATTAAATTCCCTTTAATTGTAGCGACTACATGCAACACACAGCTTCTAGCTAGTGTAAAATAGTTCATTAACTCCTAGAAAATAGCCAGTACCCTAACACAAATCTCTGATCTGGCGTCTCGGCTCTAAGAGAGTGGATTTAAGGTGGAGAGCCTGGGAAACAGGCGCACGGGTCTGGGAGTACCAGATATGAATATGTATTAGAGCGATGCACTTCTCCCCAAATGAGAAATTACGTTGATTCGGAAAGTGCGCCTTACTTTGTGACTAAAATGCAAAACGATCACCTCTATAAACTCAAGCTTATAGTAACTAATTTCAGTTACTGGCTGTCGCGTAGCACAAGCCCAAACAAAAAAGAAGTCAGCTCTCAAATACTATGAAGTATTCAAGACACATGTGTCCTCCATTCCCGTCTCCCTATGACGTGTTCAAGACACATGTGTCCTCCATTCCCGTCTCTCTCTTCTCTTTGGTTTTGCCGTAGGGCACGTGCACTTGCTGCAGGGGCGGGCAGGGCGAGAGAGTGAGAAGTCACCCCTGGGGGTAGCCACACTTCAGTCCCTTTTCCTCCTTTCTCCTCTTTGGGTTCTGGGCACACACAGGTACTGGGGACATCTCTTAAGCACCTGAATTTGGAACTCAAACCACACGGTTGGCCACGTGGGATCGAGCCACCTTCACCCCACACTGCGGTGGCTGGCCCACATCTCCTAATTCTTGCATTATATACATACGCTTCCTTTTTCCTATCCAGAATTCTGTTCATATCCGTGGACATTTAGACATGAGTATTGCATGCCGGGAATGTGCTTTCTGTGTACAATTACATGCGATGTTCTATGTCAGTCAGGCACTTGTGCCTATGTACAGATGGGACCACTTGGCACAGGGAGGGGGTTTACCCAGACAGAGCCTCTAGGTGCTAGAGCAGGATTTGAACCCTTTCCAGACCTTGTCCTTAAGCATCACACCACTCTGGGGAGAGAAGAGAGAATGCAAGGAGGGGAGGGGGGAAAGAAAGAGTGTGAGAATATTTGGAGGAAGTTTATCTGCCAGTCTGATAAAAGTCTTTTTCGTGGAAACCATCAGCTGAACCCTGGGTGGGCATATTGTCTCTGAGCGTTTCTTTTTCGCCTGACAAGGGAGTGCATGTGTTGTTTGGACTCGGGAGCCAAATGATTTTCTGTTCTCTACCTTCAGGCTTTCTGACCGAGGATGGCCCCTTTGGGTCCTGTGAAAACAAGTACTGTGGCTTGGGACGGCGCTGTGTCATCAGCAGAGAGACGGGCCACGCCGAGTGTGCCTGCATGGACGTCTGCAGACGGCACTACAAGCCCGTGTGCGGGTCCGACGGGCAGTTCTACGAAAACCACTGTGAAGTGCACAGAGCCGCTTGCCTGAAAAGACAGAAGATCACCATCGTGCACAACGAAGACTGCTTCTTCACAGGTGCGTGGGGGCCAGCTTCAGCTGCCCCTCCTCTATTTGTTTCTGTGTTCCCTGCCTTTCGGTTCCGACCTAGTGTGATTTGATGTCTGCAAGTGTTTACAAACTGCAAAGGGGGAAAGTGAGCTTAATGACTATTGAACAGCAGGGTCTGGGAGTGTGATACTCAGTGGCTCTCAGTGTTGGACCCTATGGCTTCCCCGTCACGAGTCACCTTGGGGCCACGGGGTGGCCTCTGTGTCTGCAGGGAGGATTTGGTCGCACCTGGAGAAGAATCCAGGGCAGAGCGGGTGCCAGCCATGCTGAGAGCATGCCTCCCTTTCTGACTACAAAGTATGGCCGCAGGGTGCACCACGTGACTCAGCTGGTGTGGGAGCTGCGTCGCTCGCTGGAACGGGGAGAGTTCACGCTACCCTCACGTGGTCATTCGGGGATGGTGGGCCTTCCCAATGCTACAGCGTGGCTGTCTTCCTGTGCGGGGGTTGCTAGGCTATGGAAAAGTGCTGTTAGGTGAGTCAGTGGATGCACTGTGCTAACGTGCCGTGGAGTAAATCATTGACCTGCTTCAGCGTCACTGTCTACCTGCACGCCTCCTGCTCCTTTGCTTACACCGGAGACGCTATTTCCTGTCAATGGTTATGGTCCAGGCTGTGATGGCCGAGCTAAATACACAGACCTTCCAGCATTTTCCAGGTCAGTGGTCGACCTAGCCGCTCAGCTCGGGAGGCTCCAGGGCTCAGTTTCTCAGAATGCCCTGGAGAGTGTTTACAGCTAAAAGCTTCTTTGACTTTTTTATTCTTAGCTTAAAGGTTCACCTGAAACATGTTATTACATTTCATCCACCTACTTGTGAAGGTGACTTAGAGATTTAAAATGTATTTACATCCAAAATTGGTGGGATATGGGACTATATCCAGGGTTCCAAAATAAAGACTGTGGGTGCTTGTCTTTTCTTCTTCTTTTTTTTTTTTTTTTTGAGACATTTTTGCTATACGGCGTGTGCGCTCGACAGAAAGACAGAGAGAGATAGACAGAAAGTGAGAAATCACCCCCCGGTGGGAATGGCTATGCCACAATCCTTTCTCCTCCGTTCTCCTCTTGGGATCTTGGGCATGCACGCACACGTGCCTGGCGTGAGTTTAAGCACCGGGTCCGGGACCTGAACCACAATCGACTATATCGGAGTCCTGCGACATAGCCATTACACTAACTGCTGGTCCCCTGTGGGGTGCTTTTCTTTTCTTTTTAAGAGATTTTTGCTATAGGGCATGTGTGCTCTCTAGAAAGACAGAAACAGAGACAGAAAGTGAGAAGACCCCACCCCCAGGGGACATGGTCATGCTGCAGTATCCTCTCAGCATCTTGGGTGTGAGTTTTAAGCTGCCAGGTCTGGGACTCGAACCGCAGTCAACTACACGGGGTCCAGTGACGCGACCATTATGCCATCTGCTGGTCCCCTAAGGTGCTTTCCAGCTAACGTGAGATGCTGCCTTCACTGTTCACAGTCACATGGACACAGTGGGAGCATGGTGGTAGAAGAGGTTCCCGTTCCGTGCGCTGCCTCCGCAGACCACGTGTGATTGCAGGTCAGGCCTCCGGGAAGGTTGGTGGACGCCTTTGTTTCAAGTTCGGTTTATTCCTCTTATTGCTCTAATCCAGCTGCAGGTCACGGAGGCTGGCTTGGCTACCAGTGTGCTCCGATGCTTGCTGAAGAGCAGTTTCGCTGTCTCTGACTTGAGCTGGTCCTGTGGAAATGATGCTACCACACTGATGCATCGTGTCAGAGTGTAAACATACGTTAACATTGATAGTTAGTGGAAGCATATGAGCTAGAGGTCATAGTGTTATTCTAGGTCCTACTCACCTGACACGCAGCCGCTGATTCTCTGGACACACACGAGTGTGCATATCGTGTGGCAGAACAATCCGGACGCCTGAGTTCTCCCTCCTCCTGGTGTCAGGCCGAATGCTCTCAGTACTTAAGTCCCTTGAGGGAGAAGGATGAGGGACCAGTAGTTAGCATAATGGCTATGTCTCTGGACTCCCATGTAGTTGACCCTGGTTCAAATCCCAGACCCAGTGGCTTAAACTCACGCCGGGTGCATGTGCATGCATGCCCAAGATCGTGAGAGGAGAATGGAGGAGAAGGGATTGTGGCATGGCCATCCCCCCTGGGGAGGTGATTTCTTGCTTTCTGTCTCTCTGTCTCTCTCTGTCTTTCTGGCGAGCGCATGCGCCCTATAGCAAAAACCTCTCAAAAAAAAAAAAAAAAAAAGAAAA